AGGAGAGGGTATAATAGCATGCCGGGAGGAGTGAGTATAATAGCACACTGGGAGGAGAGGGTATAATAGCATGCCAGGAGGAGAGGGTATAATAGCATGCTGGGAGGAGAGGGTATAATAGCGTGCCAGGAGGAGAGGGTATAATAGCATGCCGGGAGGAGTGGGTATAATAGCACACTGGGAGGAGAGGGTATAATAGCATGCCAGGAGGAGAGGGTATAATAGCATGCTGGGAGGAGAGGGTATAATAGCATGCTGGGAGGAGAGGGTATAATAGCATGCTAGGAGGAGAGGGTATAATAGCATGCCAGGAGGAGAGGGTATAATAGCATGCAAGGAGGAGTGGGTATAATAGCATGCTAGGAGGAGTGAGTATAATAGCATGCAAGGAGGAGAGGGTATAATAGCATGCTGGGAGGAGTGGGTATAATAGCTTGCCAGGAGGAGAGGGTATAATAGCATGCCGGGAGGAGTGGGTATAATAGCACACTGGGAGGAGAGGGTATAATAGCATGCCGGGAGGAGAGGGTATAATAGCATGCTGGGAGGAGAGGGTATAATAGCATGCTGGGAGGAGAGGGTATAATAGCATGCTAGGAGGAGTGGGTATAATAGCATGCCAGGAGGAGAGGGTATAATAGCATGCTGGGAGGAGTGGGTATAATAGCATGCCAGGAGGAGAGGGTATAATAGCATGCCGGGAGGAGTGGGTATAATAGCACGCTGGGAGGAGAGGGTATAATAGCAGGCTGGGAGGAGAGGGTATAATAGCACACTGGGAGGAGAGGGTATAATAGCAGGCTGGGAGGAGAGGGTATAATAGCATGCCGGGAGGAGTGGGTATAATAGCACGCTGGGAGGAGAGGGTATAATAGCAGGCTAGGAGGAGTGGGTATAATAGCACGCTGGGAGGAGAGGGTATAATAGCAGGCTGGGAGGAGAGGGTATAATAGCATGCAGGGAGTGGGTATAATAGCGCGCTGGGAGGAGAGGGTATAATAGCAGGCTAGGAGGAGTGGGTATAATAGCATGCCAGGAGGAGAGGGTATAATAGCATGCTGGGAGGAGTGGGTATAATAGCTTGCTAGGATAGACTGTTGGGTTGAGTTCTCCCAGAATGCCATGTGAAATATTCAGATAAGCACTGATAGCATTCTTCTTAGTTTTTGCTATTTAGAAATAGAAGCCCCCTAACTCATGCCCTCTAGTTTTTATCAAACATTAGTATATGTGTCCCTTGTCTCCTCTATACCCAGGATATGTTTATCCCAGCCCCAAGCTGCACTATCAGTAAGGAATAGCCAAACTCGTCAAACAATGAGGGCAGAGCTGCCACGTGGCACTGGGCTTCACAATGCCGCCATCACATTAGGCAGTGCCATCACAGCAGTTATTACTATTTGGAATGCTATATGTTATTAAATGTGAATACTTCCACTTTCTTTTCTAAAACACCTATGAATTAGTTGATATTTGTTTGAATTCAGTCCTACATGTCTTACCATCTCAATTTTTTTCCCATTCTGGAAATGTAATTAATTCTTCAGAATTCTGAAACGGTATGAAGTTTGTTCCTCTCAATTAGTGCCTTTTCCATGCCATGCTAATGAGCTGCGACAATCTAATCCTATTTATAAAAGTTCTATAAATGTGTTTTCAGCACAAATATGATTTCAGTCTTTGCCCCCTAGTTTTTGTGACCTTTTGTGACATGTCCCTATTTTTGTGAAATATCCACGCTGTCCTTCTGAGCCGTCTGCTGTTAAATCATATCGCAGCTGGGAAGAAACTATAGTCCATTTTTACAGAAAGGTGTTTAATTATAATGTTCTAATCTTGTATTTTATCAATACGCCAAATGGGGACTATAAATCTCTACGCTGCGATTTCATTACCCATGTCAAATCCATACAGGGCGTGCGAAGGGCAGATTACAAAGCGTTTGGATATTGCATATCGGGCAACGTTGAGTGTCGACTTTATGGGATCCTATTATCGCCTCGATGACAATAATCCCATTCAGCATTTCTTCCCATTACAATTTTAATGCAAACCGATCCAGTAAAAGGTTTGATAGAGTTCCTTCTGAACGTCCGCAGCAGAATGAGAAGCTGTCTTAGTCCGCAGCGTTTTCCCGTGAATTAACTTTAGATTCATTAGTTAAATTAGTTCCCCAATCTACTCGGAGGGAAATTCACTTTTCATTGCTGTAAAAATGTTTTACAATCTAACAATTAGCAAAGTCATCAAATGAAAATTGAATGTGGGAAATGCCTTAATTTAACACATCCAATTACCCAAGGCGGACGGGAAATGATCAGCGAGTCTCGGCTGCGTTAGACATATTACCTATGGGCTGGGGAGTGACGAGCAACGAGTGAGGAATGAATTAGTCTTAGCACCTGTACAAGCACCTACTGTCAGAATACTTCTACATAGAGCTATTTAGATAATTACGTTGGATGGATGTTGCCAGAACTCTAGGGTATGTTAGCAAAGTCGTTTTCCTTTTTGGCTGCAGTGGACTTGATAGTATTCAGTTTTGTTTTTTTAATATTATTAAGCATATTTTTAGTTTAGTTTGTTTATTTATTACCGGCTACGAAAGAGAATTTATTGGAGTAGATTATTTTCCTTTCTGGCGGTAACCTATCTGACCCACTTCATTGGCTTGGGACTGGAGCTTTATGCCAACGATCAGGCGTTGTCTCGGAGTAATGTCTCCTCCGAGCCAGGACTGATTCAATACAAATGGAATAAGCCACAGTTTCACACAAAGGCAGATTGCCTGAGTTCAGCACTTTCGCTTAAACCACAGGAAAGATTATTGTGGGTAATTTTCCACGGAGCACAATCCTGGCTTCCACCGAGCGCCTGAACCGCACTCAATATTTCATGTCACAGGTCTCGGAACGAGGAAAGAATTTCATCTTCACAAATAAAACTAATATCGAGGAAACAGTCATTTAGGGGGAGGTCAAATGATAGAGACTTAATAAAAGGCGACGATTATATGTGGAATCAGTTAATAGCAGAGAGGACGCAGCAGATGAAATACTGAAATCTAACACATTTTATAGCGATCGATATCTTGTGAAGATTAATAGTGGCCATCGCGTGCTTGTGAAAAGCAGGATGTATTGACTATACAATCAGTTGCAATGTAACTGCACTATTTTACAATATAATGTAATAGGTTTACATGTGCTGGCCCAGCGCCCTCTAAAATAGAAGCTCCAGAATATGGCATTAAAGGTTTTATTTTAGATTTCTTAAACATCATTCAGCAGATCCAGATTATCAAACGATTATCAAATGTGTTTCTTCTACTTAATGATAGCCTGGCTGACACACCCGACCACAATGTCTGCACTGAAAGGTCGAGTGTGAACTGCATGAGTCCAATCCTTTAAAAAAGGCTGCCTGTGGTCAGATCCAGAGCCTTCAGCTGATCTGGAGCATAACATGCATGTCAAGAAAATGCCACTGTCTAGTAGTAACCTGGAATAAGATAAGCTCATTCGAAGTAAAGGCGGGCATGGAGGCCAATCCTAGATGAGACCAACAACAATGTTCAAAATTAAGGTAAAAACAGGGACAAGGAAAATCCAG